AAGAGGATCGATCTCTCCCAAATGTCTAGACGCCGCTAGAGCCCAAAGAAAACCTAGATCTAAGTGATCACAAATTTCAGCCAAATTCAAGATGCCCTAAACCTAGGAAAACAAACTATTTAATGCATACAATTCAAAAGGAAATCTCTAAATAGTCCCTACATTCAATTTCCCTCCTAAACTTCCTTCAAAATCCTTCCTAAATGGCTATGTAGAAATCGGGCGGTCGAATCCCGCGTACCAAAGGCGGAAGAGTTCCGCCTCTTGTCTCCATGAGCCGGTCCCGTATGGACCGGTTGGACCGGTCTAACAGCCTATTTAAGGCTAATAATAGGATGATTTAAGGGTTATGTTTTGAGTTTGCTAAAATTAGAACTTTTTTATGTTAAGAGGGTTCTAGCTACTGGCTAGGGATTTGGGAGAGCTGGATATTCCTCTCCAATTGAAGATCCAATTGTATCTTTATATTTTCTTTCATATATCTTGCAAAAAAAAAAAAATTTCTTGTGTTCTTCTTCCTAAATATCATATGTCGTCATCTGATTTTCTTGCAATTGCATCCACTTCCTATCATATATTTTCTCTCCTTTTTCAAATCATTTCAAACATTTAGAAGCTATTTGGCTCAAGTAGAATTCAGTAAATCCTATACATCCGGATTTAAATCCTGAAAACTGCTTAACATGGTAGAGATTAAATCTGGTTAAATTTTAATGAACTATTTGGCAATTTTAAAATTTGGGTCTATTAACTTAAATAAGATTTTAATAATACCAAATTATTTGTTAATATTCTAAATGAGACTTAACTATCAACTAGTAGCTACATGGTAAATTGAATTTCCTTATAATCCAATCGGTGGGTTCTCTATCCCACATGAATTACTTTATTGTAGTTTGGAAAACGTGGGGAAAAAAGCAAAAATAAGAAAAGCTAATAGGAGCAAAAGCAGAGTTAGGACAAATGTAGACGGTAATCTTCTTTGTTATAGCATATCTATTACTATAATTTCTCCTCTTTGGTCTTTGTCCTATGCTCTTCCTAGGGCCTTAGGCTCGTTTAGGGTATGCATTTCCTCATTGTCATTGCTTCATTATTGCTTCTACTTTACGTGAAGTAGAGTTTTAAAGGAGTCGCTAAAGGAAACTTGTTTGCCTCTTTTGAACAACATTATTTGTATCGGATTAGAAGCTACAACGGGAGATCGTCGCGAATGTAACCATTTTTCTCCCCTTTCCTGTGCTTCTTTGACTAAATCTCATAAATCTTCTGAATTATCAGATTTACTAAATCTGTGATTTAAGGCAAAACGGAGAAAGAATAGAATTTAACTTTCTGTAGGATTTAAACTTGTCATTTTTTATGTTTGGCATGATTTAGCTTAAATCCTATATCCTAACAACCCCATAAAGTCCCTAAACTCCAGATAGAAAATCTAATCCTAACTTGAGACTTGTTTGGTTGGAAGAAAAGTGAATGCAAAGTAAATATATTATTTTTTTACTTTTTAGTGTTTGGTTGGATTAAAAGCAAATCCAAGATAAAGTAAAGAAAATGCAGTTTATTTCATTTTAGTTCATTTTTTAGGTGTCAAAATCTCAGTCATCCATTGGCATTTGATCCCACGGTCAGGATGAGAATCCGTGGGAGGCTCACCTGGATCACGTCAATATCCTTCTATATTTGGGTAGCTGAATTAGGAAGGATTATATTGAGGCAATTATGTATCAATTAGAAGTTATTTATTTCTTTATTAAGACATCTTGTATAGATCTATAAATAGGGATAATTTTGTATAATAATTAGAAGGTATTTTTACCCTTCTCAAATTCTATGAATTGTAACATGGTATCAGAGCCAACGGCCTCCATTGCCGATTGAAGAACCATCCTAGAATCGTCGGAGGTAAAGAAGAAGAAGAATAAATCAAAGCTGCCAGACGCTGCGGACGCTGCTCCGACTCAGACGAATGCCACTTGCCCTCAGCTTCGATCCAGGACGGGATGGGACGGACCGACCGCTCCACAAACATTAAACCCCGAAGCCTCAAGCTGAAGCCGAAAGTCTCGATCTTCTGCGGAGAAGCTCAAGCCTCGCGGACAGACGAAGCCGAAGGATCGGAGCTACCAGTCGAGGTTGATTTTTCCTCCCGCAGCGGCATCCCCTTGGTGTCGTGCAGAATGATCGGAAGACGAAACCAGAAGACGAAGCCGAAGGTCCCGCTTGCAGCTGGAGAGGCAGAACCGTGCAGAACGTGGCGAGCATCCCGATCTGATAGGAAGGGAAGATCGTCGAAGGAACCTTGTCGAACAGCCAGGTAGGAGATGGAGTCGAAGAAGCGTCGTACCTTCCGATCCGATAGAAGGCAGAAGTCGTTGAAGGATTTGTTGAACAGCAACGAGGGAGCCGAAGAAGCACCTCCTACGATGCACCCGAAGGACGACAACGAAGCTCTCGTGGTGAGCATCCTGTGCGGAACCGTGCGGTGCAAGTATCCCGATCCGACCCGACAGGAAGGGAGGAGCACCGAAGGAGCTGAGTCGAACAAGCAGGGAGCCCAATCGGTCAGGAAGGAAGAATACGAAGGAGTCAAAGAAGCCTCCTGCGAAGCAAGAAGACTCTGAGCGAGTGGCTCCCAGCGTGCAGGCCATTGCCGAGCTTTGGATCAGCTTTGGATCGGTCCGGTCCAGTAAGGTTCAATTTAAAATTAAAAAAGGCCTTTCAACTTTTATTGTAGAAGAAAAAAAAATCGGCCTTTATTGCCATAACTTAAGATCAAAGGGATCTTATTTTGGAATCGCCTGGGATATACAAATCAAAGAAAGCAGAGAGAAGAAAGCGGCCTTCATTGTCGTTGGAGTCGTGCGGTCCAAACAGCTCGAGCCCTCTATTTTGCACCAGCGGCCTTCATTGCCGTAGGACATCGAACGAGAGTCGAGTAAGTCCAAACCGCGTGTGCCCTCTGTTTTGTGGTTGTGGCCTTCATTGCCAGGATTTGGAGGAATATTACTCCTTCTACCGGCCTTTATTATTGGAATACAGGTTCCTATCATCGGCCTTCATTGCCAGAATGTTAAGGAATACTAGTTTCCACAACCGGCCTTCATTGTCGGAATTTTGAGAATGTTCACATCATCGGCCTTCATTGCTGGAATTCCGAGGAATACAAGTTCCCACAACCGGCCTTAATTGTCGGAATTTTGAGAATAGTTTTCCATCATCGGCCTTCATTGTCGGCTTTCTCTTGTGGTTGATATCCTATCTATAACCAATGCAGCTCTACCTCTGAGCGAGTAATTGCAAGTTGGTCTCCAGCTTGAGGGGGAGTGTCAAAATCTCAGTCATCCATTGGCATTTGATCCCACAGTCAGGATGAGAATCCGTGGGAGGCTCACCTGGATCACGTCAATATCCTTCTATATTTGGGTAGCTGAATTAGGAAGGATTATATTGAGGCAATTATGTATCAATTAGAAGTTATTTATTTCTTTATTGAGACATCTTGTATAGATCTATAAATAGGGATAATTTTATATAATAATTAGAATGTATTTTTACCCTTCTCAAATTCTATGAATTATAACATGAGGTAAAGTATTCTCGCCCAATTTGATTGATAATATTTTATATAGATCAAGTCCGTCCTTGAACACCCATGTCGGCCACCGTCTCCACCACCACCTGTTGTCGACTGCCTGCCACCACCGTCCACCAGCGGCCCCTCTCAACGGCCGTTGCCTCCACCCGCTCCCAACCTCCGCCATCCGTCGAAGCCACCCCTGTCGCTACCACCCATAATCAGCCGTCAACCACCCCAGTAACAACCTCTTCATAATTTATGTAGCATTTACTTTACTTCAAACCAAAAAAAAAATTAAAGTCTTGCATTCCTTTTTCACTCATCCAAACAATTTTAAAGTATTCCTTTTCCACCGCATTTTTTTTTTCAGGCAACCAAACAGCCCCTTGCCTAATTTTCATTGCCATTAGATTATGATGTGTCATTTGTGGGTAACATCATAGCAAACCATTGCCTACTTCCCGCCATAATCATGTGGGTTATAATGTGGTACTTTTGGGGAATATCCTAGAACTATAACAGTTCAAATTTGAATTAATTTCATTAGATTTTGTATTAAATTTTTGGATTAGACGTTAGCCTAACATCAACCCTTGATCTATTTAATATGGGCTTAGGATAGACAATGGTAGCTTTATTATGACGAAAATTAAGATAAAAAAAAATAATCACATGACTCAAATAATGCAAATTATCAAGTCTAAACCAAGAAACAACTTGATGAATGCATCAAATTGCAGGTGATGGGGAGGAAATTATTACGGATCTATGGTTTATAATTTTGATGATAGCAAACATTCCTTATGTCTCTACGATTGTCTTATGTGCTAACGTTTCAGATCCACACGATCAGACTGCAATTTGGAACCAGCTCAAGATTGGGTAGACTAGGTCTATGTCAGTTTGTAATCTTTTTTCTTTTCTTGAGTCTGTTGTATTTGGTGTGGTTATAACTTGGTAGAAATTCTCTTGCTCCCTATATGATTTCTGTTTTTGGTAACATCGTCCTGGATGATATTAATATCGGCCTGGACGATCTGTCCAAAATCAGAAACCCGAATTAGGGCATCCTCATTAAGGCAGTCGTCAACAGATCGGCCTGGACGATACTTGTATCGGCCAGGACGATAATCTCAATTCAGAAAGAATCAACCGCCATAATCAGTTTAGGAATTCTTTGTTTTAGGAAATCGGCCAGGACGATATTATTGTCGTCCAGGACGATCTAACTCAATCATGCCTAAATTGATCTGGTATCTTTAGAAAGCATTAATGGTTGATTGATACAATCACATCGGTTGGGATGATATCCTGGACGATCTATATCGGACAGCTCGAATTCAGGGCGATGATCAGGATGATTGAAATCAGTTTTAAACTAATCGGCCTGGACGATGTAACCAATTTTCTTCTGAACGTCCCCCTTCACATTAGCCAAACTCTTAAGCACAACCTGAAGATACTGCGGCCGGTTGTGAACATACAGAACAATATTTATATGGTTCTCCGCTAAATTTGGAAAGAGATCAATATTCCTCGGTGGTAAAAAGTTTCTCCGATCCAGAGAGATGGCAAAGTCGTTCATTTTAGGAAGTTTTGGTTTAAAGTCTCCAAAGTTCAAGAGTATACGATTATCAGTCTCCATAGAAGACGAAGGAAAAGAATAACTTTCTTCTTCTACAGCTATGTAGGAAAAATCAGAAATTGCCCATTTTCGAATCAGCAACATTAAAACCAGAGCCACCGAGAATATTACCAGAAACAGCGGAAGCAACCTCCGATATCCAGCATGAGATCTCTTGTAAAAAGCCATAAACTTTATTGACGCCCAACTCCAAAACCCCCTCTTGTAGTACGACCAAATTCAAAAATACGAAAGACAAAGAAGGCAACGCGGAAAGAAGAGCACAAAATATACCAAAATCGCAGTTTTTTTTTTTTCATCTAAAAGTAACCAGCGGAAGGAAAGTGAAAAACCTTCTCGACAAACGCAGAGCTGATAGCCGAATGTTGCGGTTGGACGAAGAAATCAAGAGTAATAAGCGACGGCGGGCAACATAAGCGATTATTTCTAATTTTGCGTCTTCTGTGAAGCCCCACCATCTCGTTCCTTAGGAGTTCAAGTAATACCAGAGAACTAACACAGATTACAAATGGAGAGGGAGTTGGGTCTTCGTCGTTGCCGTCTTCGCCGTCCACGCTTCCTTCGCTGCTTCCCTTTGCTTATGTGCGATCACCCACCGTGTGCTTACCGGCGCATCTCGGTTAATCTTGATTTTTTCTGAGTCATATCGATTAGTACACCTGTCGATATTTTAGCTAGCATAAACACTTATAAAATAATACTTTTTTAATTATTTTTGTTGATGCGTAGAACACGAATCTCGAAGCATATTCAAATGATGAACTTTAAAAATTAAATTTGGGATTAGTCAAACTGAACGTTTCAAAGAGAGGGCGAATTATTACGTCCAGTCACAAGATGTCCGGACACTCAATTCAGACGCGCCATGTCACTCGAATACACTAGGCCCCGATGTATTTGTGTGACGTGGCAAGTCTAGATTGTATGACCACCGCTCGACAGCAGATCTCCACAGGACTTTCATCCGACTATCGTCGGACCCCTGCCCATCCTCTGATCTCCACAGGACATTCACCCGACCATCGTTGGATCACCGCCTATTTGTTAATAACCGTCGAACATCCTCACCGCCTCTAATTTCCATAGGACCTCCGCTCGACTGCCATCGACACACCACTCTGGCCATCGTAGCCCGCCAACTTTGCTCCTTTCAACCTCCTGTCGTCCACCGTCGTCGCTTACCGACTAATGTTCCTCCTACCACCATATGTCAAGTACGGTCCACTCTGAACACCGTTGCAAGCTGACTACGATCCCTTAGACAACTGTCACCCACTGACTATGGTCCTTCTGACCATCATCACCAACCAACTATGATCCACTCTACCACCTTCATCCGCCAACTACGATCTCTCCGACCACCGTTGCCCGTCGACAATGATCTCTCCGACCATGTCGTCCATTGACTATGGTCCCATAGACCATTGTCACTCACCGATTACGATCTCTTCGACCTCCGTCGCCCAATGACTACGCCCCCCCCCCCTCATTGTCCGACAATTATGGTCCCTCCGGCCATCATCGTTCGAGTAAGGTCCGACCAAACAACAAACAAGCTAACACTTTCTTGAGAATAACTCTCATATCACTAGATTCAATATCCACCATGTAATGTGTTTTATATGATGCACATTTTCTAAATCAATTCAATGTCTCCCCTCCAAGGAAAGACCTCATTTGTAATCAACAATAAACACTAGTATAATCATTTTAACTGGACCAAACCCCATGGTTTTTTTCATTTTCAGGATTTTCCACGTAAATACTTGACGTATTCTATGACTTTTGTACCCCTTTCTACTATTTGTTTGTGTGTTGGACATTCCTACAAAGTTTGGATGATAAACTTTATATCTCTCTACCGTCGCGAATATTCCGGGACGCAACATTTGTAAAACACAAGTTTTCAAGATTATTTTTACAAAATTATAATTGATTTGGTGATTTTAAATGTTCTAAGGATATAATTCGGAGTTCACAAAAATAAGACAAAGCCAACTATATATGTGCAGATTTTCATCTCCACTATCCAATCTAGTTTGGATGTCTCGGATTAAATAAATGATGATTTTGCAAAATGAATCTGACTTTTAAAAGATTTAAGGCATATTTAGGATGATTGCAGCTTTTTTAAAGATTTTTGGGGACATTTAGGCCATTTAAGGCAAACTCACACACACAACGCATACACATGAACTCGAACCTTGGACCTCTTAGTTGGAAGTCTAAGCTCTCAACCAATAGGCCAAGGGGAGTTGTGTGCTTTTTTAAAGATGATTGTAAAGTCATTGTAAGAAAAAAAAAATTTTGAAAGTTGCAGTAAAAGTTAATTTCTAGCGCAGAATTTCTGGAAAGCGGCTAGAAAGTAATAAACAAACAGAAATATGACTGCGGCCTTAAAAAAAATAGTAAGAAAGTTATGTCAATCATAATCTTTAATTGTATTAATAGTCTTTAACAATAACACAACAAAGAAAATGAAATATCAACTAATGAAAAGGAAATGAAAGAAGATAATGCAAAATAATAACTAAGGTTATGAAAATCGGACCAGACAACCAATCGGAAGAATGAGATGTTTATGATTTGACGTTGAACCGAATGATATAATTAATATTAATTTTATTTAAAATTAATATAAGGTTGATCTGGATGATATAATAAATATTAATTTTATTTAAATTAACATAACTAATATAATAATGATAAAAATAGTTATTTATTTAGCATCTAAAACTTTCTATTTACTCAGCTACTATCATGCCTAAGAAAAAACCGTCAAATTTGGTAAACTATGGCTTCTTCCAAGCAAAGGGGCTGCAAAAAGAACCTCTAAAGGCTGGGGGAGGCAGCTACTCTTGAGAATTTTACTTCAAAACATCATCTTCAACCATTGAGGCATTTTCACAAACACTTGTAGTGCATGTAGTTGCTGCTATGCGATTGAAAGTGGCTGGAATGGGATGATTTACACACTTGCAGGCTGCAGCTAGTATCCTTGATGCCATTGGAATTCATTTCAATCTCCTCATCCAACTCATTGAAAAGTTTTTAATTAGCTTCAACATCACCACACGGGACGCGACCATTCGATTCACGAACCTGAGCGGGATTGGTTGGCGGAATGTAACTGTCCAGCTACTCACGCTCGTCCAGTTCCACATTGAACTCGAGCTCCTCCATCTCAGAATCGAACGCAGAATCATTGCATTACGCCCAGGTCATGATCCTTGCATGCAGAATAATACTCCTCCATATTCTCATTCTCATCGCACTCGGCATCAGACGCTGATATTACTTCGGCAAAGTTGTTGGAGATGAGATCCTGACAGTGCTGATCACAATCCATTCGAATGAAATACATAAATAGCCAAAATCTGATTTTACTGGTTCGCCGGTTGAGTGGTTCGATTGCCAGTTCCATGAGATATTTTAAGCTTTAAGCGAGGCAGATTATATTTAAAGCCTGCCGGTTCAACCGATCAATCGGGTCCCATTTTTAAAGCATTGATAACAACTAGCCAAAAAGATAATAAGAGTCTAAAAAAAAATTACGTCCTCTTACCGGACGTAAAGCTACGTTTGGCCGCCAATAATATGTCGCCACGTGCTCTTACTTTTTACTGCGCGGCCCGAAGACTTGACCCGGACCGGAACCCGGGAATGCTATGTTCACGATTTTCTCGTTATTTGCTCGGTATTGCTTTGCAAAAACGAGAAATACCGCTCTGTGAAGACCAATATCATGCAAATACCGAGTTGTACCGAGTTTTTCTACAACTCGGTACAACTTGTTATTTGCTCGGCATTGCTAGGGATTTGCTCAGTATTGCTAGGGATTTGCTCGGTATTGCTAGAAAAAACTCGGTACAACTCGGTATTTGCTCGGTATTGCTAGGTATTTGCTCGGTATTGGTTATTGCCAAGCAAAATCGACCAATACCTAGCAATACCGAGCAATCTTGGGTCCGTTCCGGGTCGGGTTGTCGGGACGCGCGGTAAATAATGAAAACGCGTGGCACGATTCTACTGGCGGCCGAACGTAGAGTTGTGTACGTTCACCGGACCAAATAAAAGTTCAAACCAAGAACCATATTTAAAACATAAATACTGAATTAACATAGTAATTAATGGTGGAAGATTTGCTCTTACAGTAATAATCCATTACTAGTAGATATGATTTCAAAATATATTATTATATTTAAATAATTCTCTCTAAATCTAATAGGATCTTGATTGTTTATGTAGAATCTTAATTTTGGATAATTGATATAGCTTCAAAATAAGAATTTATGTTTAAAATATTTAATCTATATCTTACATGATTGATCCACATATTTGTTAAAAAAATTAAAATAAAATCAAAATAATGCATATAATCAACATTAATCTAATGAAAGGCCTCCTTACTTGTTTTACATTGCCTTTCATGCTTTATCATAATGTTTGAAAATTTATCATAAATTTGTCCACGATTTTATCCACTTTCCCGACCCATATTAGGTTTGGGCCAACCTCCAATTTCACACTTATGCTTAAGCACATATCTTAAGGCATCTCTATATAGTTTTAGTGATGTGTTAATAACAACTAATGGTGTCGCTTATCCCTCACACTTCCATTTTCCATCATCATCCCCATCCTCCATAAATGCATAGTAACAATCTTGCAAATTAGATGATATTCTTTTGCATTCTACTATGCTTACCACCATAAAGAGCATAGTGAAAAATATCATGATGTAAATGTTTGAGTATCTTTTTATTTGATGCCAAAATTATGGACATTGCTTTACACTATGACACAATGGTCAATCCTATGAGTATGAAAAGTGTTTTTTCACCCATTGTCGATTCATTCTTTGATTACTGCATTGGCTCTTCCATTTGAAAATTAAAATCACTTAATTTTCTTCATGAGGTATGACCTATGTTTGAAGGGGAGAGAGAGAGAGAGAGAGTATTGGTTGCAAACTCCATGCATATACATATCATATCTTGAAAGGGGCATCATCACCTTTTATAGGAAGAGGGAGAAAATATTGATTTTTTTAATCAACTTTGGAGGGGTTAGCCCATACACAAAAATGCACTCCATTGGCTTGAAAATTTGATGTCACCTTTATGTTATCAGTACTACCAAATATTGATCGAATTCAAAGGCTTTTGAAATATTGATCATATTCAAAGGCTTTAGAAATTAATTTCAAAGCTACCTTCTTATTCTATATCAAGAAGAGGAGATAGGGTTGGTAGAAATGAGAATACAATATCCTTTTCTTTCCTTCAAAATGATCAAAATCTCATTTAAGATTTTTATGGGTTTATATGACTTTATAATAAAATTTGTATGCCAAAATTATGAGAAAATTTTAAGTTTCAAGCACAAAATTCTTATATTTGTTTGAGCTATAATAAAATTTATCTTTTTCATGCTACTTTTTTTAATTATATTATTATTATTATAAATAAAAATAATATTCTAATCCATGCTCCCATTTATTTATTATAATTCAATTATCACTTAGGAAAAAAATAAATAAAAAAGCTAGTTCTACACTCATTATTGAATTTTCTCTTCTTTTTAAATATGAGCTTCAAAAACTAGAACTTGTTTTGTTCTAATTTCAACCAAACTCATATTTGAACTCACTTCAAGAAGAAAGTTTCATTCACTTCCACATATTTACAATGAAACAATCTTTTATAATTAATGCTCACATGACTCACATTATAAATTTAATGGAAAAAAAATTAAAATGCATTTGAAAAGTTTGTATCATATTATTCATAATGCATTATGACATTTGTCATTCGCATTAACATCATGATATGCACTATTAACATGAGTATGAAAATCAGGCTCATTTTGACAGGACATGAACCTTCCTTACACAAAAATGGTGCTTAATAACTGATTGATCCGCACATGGCCAATGAAGTTTGGTATATCACCAAAAAATTCATCTAATCAAGCACGAACCTTGATGCAATCTTTGAATTAAAAACTTTTAAAAATAAATTTAAGGCCATTCAAGCTCTAATTTTACTAAACTTATAGTTGAACTCAATATCGCAAAGAGATGAACCCATGGGCATCAATAGTGATCTCATCCAACTCCACTTGACCCCAAACTAAATATTTAAAGCGTGTCTAAAAACTTAAGTACATTAATTAAATGACCAAATGATCTTAGATCTGTGTGTTTAAAATCAAAACAAGTTATTTGATGAGAAGAATCAAAGGAACTCAAGATTACTCAATTATAAGACCACTAAAACACTTAAATATTGAAAAAATGACTTATGATTAAGAGAATCAATAAGAGTCATCATATGAAATATTTTTGAGGATTTCGGGTCAATCAAAATATCACCATAGAAAATTATAAATAGACTCATATTCTTCACATTAAGTTGGATAAAACTTGGAGCTAATATTAGACTTGAAATTAGAGTCAGCCCATCTCAATGATTGATGTTGACAAGCGTATTCAATAATGATTGTCATATGACCACTATCACCCAACCACCATTATGTGACTATGATCACCTGACCACTATCACCCAACTAAGATCTCCTAACCATCACCCAATTATTATTCCCTGACTACGATTTCCTGACCACAATCATCTGATTATAATATCTCGATTATCATCGCTCAACTACCGTCACTTGACTTTTATCTCCCTTCAACTTATAACTATTGACATCAAATCACATAATTACCTATAAAATTGATGCACACTAATTTCATTGCTCATTATTGCTGAAATTATTAATGCACACCATTATGTATGAGGCCAATGTTTAATATTGATACCAATGTTAATGCTCACTAATTTCATCGCTCATTATTGCTAAAAATATTAATGCACCCCATAATCTACGAGGCCAATGTACAATATGAACGCTTAACATCAATCATAAGGTACATGCATATCATTGACATGAAGGCCAATGCCATGTCAACTTTGTTATTGCGATCGCTTGCAATGTCGATGCACGTTGTTGATACCAAAGCCAATTCCCGATGTCAACAACAACACAACAAAAAGCCTTTATCCCACTACGTGGGTTGGCCAAATGTCTACTACTAGTTTTTCTATAGACTACTTATGATCGAACTAAATGTCTCAATGAGAACCCAATGTCACCAAAAGTGATTTGATCTCAAAATTTTTAGGATATAAATTGAAGGGTCAAGTTATTACATATTTGCAGTCAAAATGAGTAGCTCGCTGAGAAGAATATGAAAAATATCAAAATCACTAGATTTTGTTGTCATTAAAGCACTTAAAATTTGAGAGAATGATCTATGATTAAGGGAACTAATATGAATCATTTGATAGAAAATTTTAAGATTTTGGCTAAATTTATCAAGGTGTAAGTCTATAAAACTATAAATTGACTCACATTCTCCACAAGTAGGGGGAGATAAAACTTGGATATGAATTCAAGAAAGCTCTACGTGATGATCGAAATTAACAACTATTGCCAAAAATGCCGTCTAACTATCATTGCACAATTATCATGTCTTGAGCACCATCGCTCAACTATGTCCTCTCAACCATTATCATCTAATTATCATTGCCCAAATACGATCTCTTAACTATCATTTTTTGGCTACATTCCCCCACAAACTTTTTCATAGCTTGCAAGGTTGATGCATGCTAACAACAAATGTCATCGCTATTAAGGTTGGTGTATGTTATTGACATCATCTTCGATTCTCAATGTCAACAAAAAGATCATACCATACCTCTCTCTAGTCTCCAAAAAACACATAAAACATACACAAACAATGTAAAAAAAATAACTCATATCACAAAGCTCTTGCAACTTCCACTATAAAATTTATCTTTTATAGTTCATGTCTACTATATTGAATAAGAATCTTCCATAATTATAGGGATGAACATCATTCGTAATATATAACATACTCATAGTGAAATCATTTCAACTAAGTCAGAGCCCGCAATTTTTTTTTCTTTTTCCGAGTTTTTCTTGTAAAACCTTTAATCTCTTACAACTTTCTTTAATATATGTGTTTAATCTTTGTAAAAAAATAAGATGTGAAGCACTCTCTATTACCATGAATATTATAGCTCGCAACAAAGTTGTATACATCATATGCAAGGAAGTAAATCTTTAAAAAAATTTAAGAAGACTTCTTAAGTTTTATTTGGGACGGCTTTTTTAATGCTTATTGAAGTAATTTTTTAGTACAAAAATTAAAAAACTGCTTCAAGAAGCAGTAAAAAAACCGTCCAAACGAAGCTTAATGGGCAACGAAATTTTAAAAGCCACACTTCAGTGCATAAATGGAAAAAGCATTCTTAAGAAATAATAAATGTCCAAACATAACGTCAGGTAAATATTACTGATACGTTACTGATAGAATGCCGAAGACCACATCAGAACAGAACGCAAAAGATAATAGAAAAGAAAAACAATTTACTTTCATCATATTAAAGAAAAGCTAAGCAAACTAGCAAAGGCTTAAGCTTTACTCTTTACATAGAAAATAAACAAAAGTCGGTGGCATTAAATGCCATCGCCACGACGCCACTCATCCTCCGGTAGCTCCGCAGTCTCCATCCCAACACTCCCGTCGGTAGCTGGTATGTCATTTTCCCTCTATCAGAATATCTATACTTATTAAAATTTAATTAAAATAAATTTTCAAATTATTAAATTTATTTTTGGATGAGTATATGCTCATTTCAAAATAAATTTAATGAGTTTAAACTTTATTTAATTAAATTTAAATAGAAATATTCTGGCTCAAAATTTCCCCAAGGATGCTCTGCTTTGCCTCTTTCCTCTTTATTGTTCTTGTTTTATTAATGGTAATCTTCCTACTTTGTTCGCCGTTACTTTCCCATTTATTATCGTACTCCGTTGAAAAATAACACAAATTACAATCTGAAGGAGAGATCACATGATCGAGCAGGCTGATGGCTCTTCCTCGCAGATGAATTTGCAAGTTCTGCAACCATCATAGCATGGCGCAGCACAAGTTGGAACCACCGGCGGCGCCGGCGGAGGCTCTGCAGCAGGCTTGCATGTGCACCAGCCATGGCATCCGCATACTGGAACGGAAGGCCAAACCGTAGGATAGGGGTACGGGTACGGGTACGGATATGGGTACGGATAACATGGAGGATCGGGCTTTGATGGTGCGGGCGGGGGTGGTGGTTTCGCTGGCTTCGGTGCAGGCTCGGGAGCTGGTGGAGGCGGAGCAGGTTTGGGTTCGGGTTTTGGTGGTGGTGGTGCGGGTTTTGGTGGTGGTGCGGGTTCGGGTGGAGGCGGAGCAGGTGGAGTCGGTTTATCGGGTTTGTTCTCCTTGATCTGAATATCCTTGATGACCTTGCAGGCTTTGCAGCAGAGCTTCTTGGAAAGCTTCTTGGGATCGAATGGGCCGGAGACGAGCACTATGCCCTCTTTTTCATTGTACACCACAGATTGAATGTTTTCTCGATCTCAAAGAAATCAATTCATAATTCGTCAATTTATGAAAAAAAATAGCTGATGATAGGGTTTCTTTTAGAGATAATTAGAAAATGATTGTTGATATGAAGTAGGAGCTTCTTACCTTGGAGTTTGCAGAGTACCTTCCTAATTTTCTTGGAGCAGATTGTGCATTCAAGATCTACTTTGAGAATTAAAGTTGAGATCTGCAACAACAAGATACAATGTGTAAAGAATTTTTCTCACAATAATAAGAGAAATTGCGTCCATGCGAGAGAGAGAGAGAGAGAGAGAGAGAGAGAGAGAGAGAGAGAGAGAGAGAGAGAGAGAGATTTTCACAGAGAAGGAGAAGAAATTATATGGAGGAGTTTGATAGCCTAATCGATCCATGGGATGGAAATTCAAATCATTTTGTGCTAAGAAGAAAGACATTACAGAAAATAAAAACAGTGGAGAGGGAAATTTTCACCTTCTCTGCCATTTTTCGGAGCCAGTTATCCAAAATGTGGGGAGTGGGGGGGAGAGAGAGAGGAGAGTGGTTAGCTTGTAGCTAGTGATAAGTGCGAATGGAAAACACCACTCCTTTTAAAGAGCGACACGCACCACCTCCAAAAGCTGGCCGTCGAAATTCTTGATTACTGGGGTGTACAAAGGTTAATTTAGTTGGTATATTATCATATTCTTGTCCAAAAATATGATTCAGAATTAATTTTTTTAAATGGTGGTGAGGCCTTTAGCATTTTATGATGTATAATATTAATCATTAAAAGAGAACCATAAAAGTAAATTAAGTATTATAGAGATGAGGATGTTGATGTGGATGAGTAGTTTTATATTCAGAGACATAGTGCAAAATGAGTATATGCGTGTAAATGTTGAAGTAGTACTAGTGGCCGGTAAGATTAGAGAGAGTCGAAGATTAGAGAGAGTCGTCTTAGATGATTTGGCCAAATAAATATTTGTCTCGTTAGGGAAGTAAACTAAGTAGCAAACACAAACAAAAAAAGAGAAAATGCAAAAAAAAAAAAAAAAAAAAAAAAAAGGGTTTAAAAAAAAAAAAAAAAAAAAAAAAAACAACAGGATTTAACATGAAATTTTTTGAAAACGGTAAAAAAACCACATAGCCACGTCACAATAAGAAATTCACTATGAAAATTGGAAGAAATTTGTACATCTCTTTTTCTCTCACTTTCTCCTTATCTCTCTTGACTATTGCACAATTCTCATATATAAATAAACAAATAGAAACTCACTAAAACCACCAAAGAATGCAACCATTAATGGAAAAAAAAAATTATACTGTTCTCCTCGCAGCACCGCGGTGCTTCAATCTCCGTCTTCAGTTTGTTTGACAATGACGCATCACTAGGTCTAAAGTTCCACAACACTCCGCTCTCTATCAGTCTCCAAGCAAACTATATAGGTGAAACGAAGCAGGGAGAGGACTCTGTGCAACTCCCCAACAAGCTCAACCGATGGAATTGAGGTTCGACAACTCGATTGATCGACACAATCATATTCCACACAAAACTAACAGGTTTTTCAATGACCTGATTAGAAAAATAAATGTAATAAATCTAGCCTATGTTAAGAAATGTAGAGGTACACTTAAAAAGGATTAGAAATGGACTTTTTAATTAAATTTAAATGAAAATTTAATTCTTAATAAGACACAATGAAGAAAAAAATTCATGCAGCTAACCCCACGTAGTGGGATAAAGTTTGTTGCTGTTGGTTTTTGTAATATAGTATTAATTATGTATATATTGCATATTTAAAACTATATTGCATTTATATAATATTAATATATCAAATGCATTGTTTGGTTGGAGTAAAAAGAAATGCAATGTAAAAAGAATGCATTATTTTTTTCTTTTTTGGTATTTGGTTGAAAAGTGTGTAAAGTAAAATCATAATGTATTAGGAACTCTCCCAAATGCAACTTATTTTAAGAGTAAATGAAACCAGTTCAAATCGAGTAAAAAAAATAGTTCATGAGCTCGAGAGAGAAACTCATGGTAACCATTGTTCATTTCTTCCTCCATTATCGCAAGAACCATTATCGTTTTTCCTCCATCATCGTTTAAGGTGCTCGCTCGCAGTGAATGTAACTATTTTTCTCCCTTCCTCGTGCTTCTTTGGCCAAATCCCATAAATTTTTGTTGCTCGTATCTTCAACTAAATCCCATAAATCTGCATAAGAGGAAGACTGTCAGGTTTATATCATTCTATCCGCAGCATCCGGAGAGAATATGATAGATGTAAATACATCTTAGCACCCACTAATGCTTAGCTTGGTTGGTGAGCGAGTACGGTTGGGAACCCCCTATCTTATGCTCGATTTCTCTCGAGGGGCAACACCTCTTAAGTGAGACTCAATCAAGTACTGCTGGCCAGGACATTTATGAGGTGGGTGACTCTTCTAAGTCAGCGAGGATTAATCACGACACCAAATACCCTTTCAAAAATGACAACGGATGAATACTCAGTTCATTACGTTGTTGGGAAAGATCCAAAGCAACCAGGCAAAGGAAGAAAACAAACTATCTCCGACTCATCCAAGAAACCTGCTAAGGGAAAGCAGAGTAAAAAATCCCAATCCCTTCATACTTCCTGATGTCCTTTCCCACTATTGGTACGTGGAACATTAGGGGTTTCAACCACTCAGATAAAGTCCTTAGCTGCAAACAGCTTATTAAGTCTTTTAAGCTTGATCTGTTATGTCTTTTGGAGACCCGTATTCGCTCCTCCTCTCTCTCGGACGCTTTTTTTGATTCATTTCATACCCTCTTCCAGAATGAATTAAGCCTCCATAATTTCCATTTGACTTCCTCAGGTCGTATTTGGATCAAATGGGATTCTAGCAAACTCAATTTTACTCCCAATCTGGTTACACCGCAAATGATTAATGGTAATGTTTTGGTTGGTAACTGCTTCCAGTTCCAAATTACTTTTGTGTATGCTTCAAAGAATGCCTCTGATAGGAAGGTTCTTTGGGATTCGGTTTGCTCGGTTGCTCCTCCTACCGATTTTCCCTGGGCCATTGTTGGGGATTTTAACTGCTGTCGGTTTGGTTCTGAGAAATCTGGTGGCTCCTCTCTTCATCACTCTTTTTTGGTTGACATTAATAATATGATATTTGCTAATGGTTTGTTGGATTTGCATTCGGTTGGCAGCTTCTACACTTGGTTTAATCAGCAATATGTTAACCCCACTTTTATTAAACTTGATAGGACTCTTGTTAATGAGGAATGGGGTAAGAGGTTCCCCAACTCTTACTGTTCTTTTCAAAGTCCGTGATCACTCACCTGTTATTTTGCATCCGGGAGCTTCATCTCAGTCCAACCACAGATTTCTTTTTAAGAATTTTTTGACAAAGCATGACAGTTATTGGGTTTTTCTTTTAAATGCTTTTTCTATGCCTGCATATGGAAATCCTCTTTCTCATCTTTGTAATATTCTTAGAAAGTTAAAAGGGGACATTAAAAACCATCACTGGGCGAACTCTCAATCTCTCAACACTCAATTGGATGAGCTTCATGCTAAACAACTCACCACTCTTGAACGTATTCATGTTTTCCCGGAGGATGCTTCTCTTGGTGATGCTCTCAGGCATATTAACTTAAATATTTCTCATGTTAATTCTATGATTTCTAGTTGGATTATTCAAAGAGCTAAGACTAAATGGATGCATCATGGTGAGGATGATCTCAAATTCCTGTACGCCAAAATCAGAAATAGGCAGGGTAGCTCTAAGTCCGTAGTCAACTTATTTGTTATTAATCCGAATATTACTAGAGAGGAGGTAATTCACTCCATTACCTTGTATTTTCAAAAGCTGTTCAACCCTCCCTCTCTTACTTCTATGAACATGGCTCTGTTTCCCATTGGTACTGCTATACCTGGGAGTTATCTTTCGTTGCTCACTGCTTCTATCTTGGATGAAGAGATCAAAGTGGCTGTTTTTAGAGGTTCTTCCAAATCCTCTCCTAGACCAGACGGGTTTAATTGCTTTTTCTATAAAACTGGTTGACATATCATTGGTCCTCTTGTTTGCAAGGCTATTAGGTCCTTTTTTTTTCTAAAGGATACATTCCTAATGGGGTGAAGGCCACTGCTTTAGCCATTATTCCTAAGCATCGAAATGCTTCCTCTATCACTGATTATAGACCTATTTCCTTATGTAATACTATTTATAAAATCATTGCTAAAGTTATTGATGGGGCTTTAGAAGGTTTTTTCCCCTCCTCTGCGGGTCTTAGGCAAGGGTGCCCGCTTAGTTCATATCTATTCTGTTTAGTTATGGACTCTTTCTCTAATCTCTTAGAAGCTAGAGGTTTCAAAGGTTTTACTGCCGAGAACTTTCAACTTTCTCATCTTTTATATGCTGATGATGTTTTAATTTTTGGGGAAGCTTCACTGGAGAATTGTAGACTTCTTTCTGCCATCCTTAAAGAATTTGCCAATGCTTCGGGGCTGCATGTGAACTATGATAAATGCTCTGTTATGTTTTCAAATAAACAAAGGTATCAGGATTCTTTGTGCCAAGCCTTATCTATCTCCAATGTTTGCTGCAAGATTTTGTATCTTGGCATTCCTATCTCCTTTACTAGGCTGAAAGTGGCGGATTACTTGCCTTTGATGGACAGCTTGCTTAAGAAATTTTCTAGTTGAAAAGCCAATCTTCTGTCCTTTGCTGGTAGGCTACAATACCTTAAATTTACTATTCAGAACACTATTGCGTATTGGATCAGGGGTTCTATTATGCCTAAAACTGTTTTTAAGTTTTTTAAGAAAACTTTTTCAAATTCCTGTTTTTTGGAGATGTCTCTTGCACTAACAAGCTTCACATGGTATCCTGGGAGAATGTATGTAAACCTAAAGTGAAAGGTGGGTTGTGTATTCCTAGCTTAAGTGCTATTCAGTTTGCTTTCAACTGTTCTGTCATTCTCAGAATGTATAACTGTCCGTCACCTTTGTCTTCCTGGCTGTCTTCTCAATATACCTCACCTTGGAAGCCTCCAACTCCGAAAGCCAGCAAATTTTAGATCGCTGTTTATCATACTGCTAGATGAATTTTAAGTTTATTATTTCTCCTAATGCTCCCATTTCGTTTTTTTGGGATCATTTGTGTGGTAATAACACTCTCTCTGAACATGTGGGCGATTATTTGTTGGATGGTTTTGTTAACCCTTTACTGAAGCATTATATTTCCAACTCACGTTGGGATTTGGGTGGGGATGCTCCTCAACAGCTAAGGGATTTAATCTGCTGTTTACCGATCTCTCTTACTGATGGGCCTTGCATGTACTAGAAGGATTGTGTTAAAGTTAAATTTAGTACTTTTATTGATAAATTTTATAGCTCTTTGCTGGACTGTTCTTGGAATAATTTGGTTTGGCACCAAAATATATTTTGAAGCACTTGGTTTTTGTCTGGCTGGCTCTTGTTGGTGGCCTTAAAACACAAGATGCTTTGAGACTTAGGAACATTCATGTGCCCATGCCGTGTTCTTTTTGCAATGCGGCTCCGGAATCTGTGAACCACATCTTCTTTGAATGTTCTTTTTCTTTTTCTGTCCTTAACTCTCTTCTCCCTACAACTCATAACTTTCTGCTTAGACCAACTAT